TTGCCCTATTTCTATAGCCAGATTAATCAGGTAAAAGCTTTTAGTGGCTCTTCATTTCTAAAGAAAATAACAGATTTCCTGATTCCCATACTGATAAATCAATCAGACTGCTAAGTTTCATAAGTTTATAATTATATTTCCCAGTTTCTGCAGCACGAGTGTGGTTTCATTAGTCCTTTTGTGAAAAGACAATTTTTCTCAAGATGCTCATACTCGACAATGAGTGCTCTTGTAACATTGGCTTCTCAGTAGCTGCAGCATGCTTAGTATAGTTCCTTATGAACCCGATGATGCTGGTATTCAAAAGTGGAAACGCAAAGTAAGATTTCCAGGGAATGAATGAGATGGCATTATGAAATCTGTGATAATTTTGGAACTGTTGTCTCACTTCTGAGAATCGGGGTGTTGATCGATTGGAAAGGATTTGCATTAGATTCCAAGATCCCAATCTGAATGGAATCACCATATTTCTGTTTGCTATGCTATGCTAGACTCATCTGCCTGCAACAAACGCCTCAATTTCCTTTCTTTCCTTCGCCCAGACACCGACACGTCGCTGGTGGAGGTGGTGGCCGGCTACAACACCTCGCTGCCCTGCGCCATCCAGTCCCCTCTGCACGACGCGCCCGTCCTCACGCTCTGGTACATCGGGGCCGACGACACGCCCGTCTACAGGTGGGTTTGGGCCCCGGATTGTAGGGCGTCAAGGAACGGATCCTCACGCCCGTACGCGACGCTTCGCCTGGTTTAGTGGATTAGTAGTCTGACGAAGATCCTTCCTGTGAGACGCGATTTTTTATTACACATGCATCAATATATGTTCGCGCTGTTCAGGCGGTGAGAGGATGACTGGCTGGGACGGGCATCAGGCGAGCGCGAGGTGCACGTGTCCCGCCACGCCGAGCGAGCGAGCTGCTGAGCTGAGAAGTCACAATCGATGATCCGCGCGTCCGGGAGGGAGATACTTCGTTTCATCTATGTTGTCAGGTTGAATAATTAAATTATGAATTATAAATAATTCCGTGGAAACCCGCGTTATATATGTTGCATCGCACCAGAAGCGAAGCAAGGAGACAGGATGTCACATGTAACTTGGAAAGTGTGGAAAGTTTTTCAGGGAGAAGGTACATTTAAGATTCACACATAGCAAATCCTCTTATGACACGGTAGTGTAGAATGCAGATCTGCGCCTTACGCGTTCAATACGTTTCCATTGTCGAAAGCTAATCGAGACATGCCACTTCCAAACAGTTACCTTGTGTACCTGTGCTGCACGAAATTTCGTGCTTGGCCTCCACGCCCCGCCAATCAGTCATTAAAAGCCATCCAATTCAGATAACGGACTCAAAAGCCAGGAACTATTAATGCAAAATAGCCAGACGTTCTCTGCTGTTTCTCTGCTGCTGCTTCATAGGCGACAAATATTTTCATCTTGCAGTTAAGTACAATGATTGTCAGGGATTCTATCTACAGACATGTTTCAGACTGAGCTTACAGTGAGTAGCAACGCGGCAAAACATGCTGCGCAAACAGTGTGCACATC